TATTTACTTATTTATTTATCTATTTGTTTATTTATTTATCTATTAATCTGTTTATTTATTTATCTATTTATTTATATATTTGTTTATTTGTTTTTCTATTAATATGTTTATTAATTTATCTATTTATTTACTCATTTATTTATTTATGTATTTACTTCTTTATTTATTTATGTATTTACTTATTTATTTATCTATTTGTTTATTTATTTATCTATTAATCTGTTTATTTATTTATCTATTTATTTATTTATGTAGTTATTTAGTTAATTATCTATCTGTCTGTCTGTCTGTCATCTATCTGTCTGTCTGTCTATCCATCATCCACCCATCTATATCCGTCCGTCTGTCTGTCCCTCCGTCCGTCTATCCGTCCTATATATCTATTTATCTAGTTGTTCATTTACTCATTTATTTATTTATTTATTTATTTATTTATCTATTTATTTATTTACTTATATATTTGTTTTTCTATTTATTTACTTATCTATTTATTTATTTTTATTATCTGTCTATCTATTTATTTATTTATTCATTTATTCATCTGTCTATTTATTTATTTATTTACTTATTTATTTCTTTATTTAACTATTTATATACTGATTTATCTACCTATCTATCTATCTATCTATCTATCTATCTATCTATCTATCTATCTATCTATCTATCTATCTATCTATTTACTTATTTTTTATTTATCTATTTATTTATTAATCTATTTATCTATCTATCTACCTATTTATCCATCCATCTATCCATTTATTTATTTATCTATTTAATCATCTATTTATTTTAGCCATTGTAATTGTCTAGGATTTTTGAGTCCAGCTTAGAGGTCTTATGAACTGCTGGTGTAAAATTGCTATATAAAAAAAAGTTTTCTAGGCTTTTTTTTTTTTTTTCGCAAACAGGATCAGCAATAACAGTCAGATCCTGCTAAAGCAAAGGAAGCAGCGCCCCCTGCAGGAATTACATTGCAGGCAATCCAAAACACATTCATTCATCCACTTTAAAAATCAGTCCCACCACTACAGATTTACAACAGCATTAATACAAATACAAAACGCAAGCTTGATTTGTCAAACACTGACCTGCCAGACTTCTTTAGGGAAAAAAATACATCCTGTACATTTAAAAAAGAGGCCTATGAATCATCTCAGCAGAGACACAACATCATAAGACGTTAATATTAGGTTAGATTCAGGTCACCAGCATCTAAGGACAATGTTATTTTGACATCTATTAATGATGTGAAATCACGTTGATTTTAGGTTGTGTTGAAAAGTGACCAAAATCCAACGTCTAGTCAACTTCTCAAACCATAATTATATTGAAGTCAAATAATTATATTTATTCATCAGCTATGGCAACCTAAATCAAACATCTGATAGATATCAGTGGCAACATCCACACATTGCAAGCTGTAACATCATTAAACGTGGATATTTGCTTGATTTCTAGGTTGCGTTGGAAAGTGAGCAAAATGCTCTGACGTCAAGCCGATTTTCATTTCCAAACAAAATGCAACGTCTCTTGATGTTTGAGTACGATGTTAATCTGACGTCATGTGCCTACTGGGGTATTAATGGCACATTTATAGTATGAGATGACATGAATTGTACCTGCTCGAATGATTTGAGTCCTGCTTCTTTGCCCACCGCCGTCATGTCCTCCAGAACCGCTTTCTTCACATCCTGCCAGTCAAACAGCATTGAGAAACAATTCAGTGAGCAGATAAGCTTGTCATTCAATTTAAAGATACTGTATAGCTCACGCTAAATGAAAACACACTCAATTTTAGGCTTCAGACTGCCTTTAAAGCTTATTTTGAGTCTATAAATTATATTTATGTTATTTAAAATAACCATAAGCCACAGGAAAGACTCTGCTAAATGCATAATAAGAACATAATATTAACAAATGCCTGTGATGCATCTTTATTTAGTTTTCACTTTTAAAAAATGTGTATATACAATGCCAAATTAGCCAAACTTTCCCCTGACAGAAGTGATGCCTGTCATCGTTGTAAGCAGTCTCCGGCCAACCATCTTCATATGTTCTGGAGTTGCCCTCAATTAAAAAGTCTCTGATCCAGCGTTTTTGACACACTTATTAAATCTATTAACATAAATCTAGACCCTAACCCAGGGATGGGCAAACTTGATCCTCGAGGGCCGGTGTCCCTGCAGAGTTTTGTTCCAACACTAGTCAAACACACCTGAACAAACTAATCAGTGTCTTCAAGATCTCTTGAACTCTATTGGGAGGTCTGTTTGAATAGGGTTGGAGCCAAGCGGCAACCTCCCGATCTCTCTCAGGAAGCCAATACGGAAGTAACTAAAACTGCAATTCATCCGAAATTCCGCTAGTCCTGGCCGCTCCTGGCTCCAAAACAGCAAATTTCAATTGAGCCCACTGTTAGAATGGCCAACTTTACAGCAGAAAAAAAGGTGTTTACAGCCTGCTACAAAGAACAATTTTGGTTCATACAGCTAATATTACCCTTCATGACAACTGTGAGGGGGGTGAATTTTTTTATAACTCATCCGTTTCCTTTATATTAGGTTATATTAAGTTTGCATAATTAAGGGAGTAGCCACTTGAGTGACAGTTAGGTCTCGCTGGTCGCCGGCACGTCACCTCTGCAGATTAGCCACTGAACTCTGCATATTTATCGTATTTCTGCGTTGTTTTATGTGGCTTTACACAGTCAACTGCCTTTTGGACTTGTTTCCCACAATTATTAGATGGCATGGCATGCTGAGGGCACTTAATTGTGCTCACAAACCATTCACGTGGCCTCCGTTTCCCATGTGAGTAAAGTTATATACTTATATACCATCTCTATACATGTATTTGTTTTATTTAAGATCATTTATGGTTTATATTTATATTTAGAGCTGTAATGCACTCCAGAATCTGTCAGATTGATTAGCTGTAGGCTCTAGAACAGTCATCTGAAGTGTTGTCATACAGTGTTATGCTGGATTTCATCAATAGTCTTACAGTAACTAACACAGACTATATCTGAAGTGTTTGTAAGTAATTCGCGTTTTCCTCCTGTTGAGAAACGTCATAAGAACAATGTTTGGTGGCTCAGTGTATTACAGCAGTGTTTTTAAAAGTCTAAACACTTTATTGATATAGTGTACAACCAAGCACATGTGGTCAGAATACAAACGAGTCACAAGTGATAAAGTATTAAGCATTTCTCCCAAAGTAAAGTGTGTCTGAACCAGGTCCAAGCTAAATGCCAGCAGGTGTCTGTAGCTCCGCTCACTCTCCGCCTCTTTGCCCTTGTTTGGTATCCCGCCGTGGGTGTTATGACGCGTGACCAAAATGGCGACGGTTGGCCGCGCCTCCTTGTGGCTTCTTTTGCGCTCTTCAGAAACCTATGGGTGATGTCACGGACACTACGTCCATATATTTTACAGTCTATGGTTGGAGCTAAACTGTGCAGGACACCGGCCCTCCAGGACTGAGATTGCCCACCCCTGCCCTAACCCCTTGACAGCCCTTTTTGGCATTTCAGAGAGAGTTGACTTGACTGTTGCATCTCGCCAAGTTATTGCTTTTTCTACTCTTTTAGCTAGACGAGCCATTCTTATCAAATGGAAACAGGTGATTCCTCCTACACATGACATGTGGATCCGAGAACTTTTTAGTTACATAAAACTTGAAAAGTTAAGATGTTTACTTGCAGGATCTCTCAAATCTTTTTACAAGACCCTGTTTTAGACTATATTAAAGGCTTACCTTGTTTAGTCGATATCAGATCTTTAGGGATGTAACGGTATCAGAATTTCACGGTACGGTAATACCTCGGTATGAATGTCACGGTACGGTATTTATTGAATCATTTACAGGAAAAACAAAACTAATGAAAAGACTCGAAAAAAGTGCCGAAAGTGTTTATTTACCTTAGCACTGAACATATCAATGACATACAAATCAGCCGTCTATCTGTAAGTTTCCAAACAGGAACTTCAATTTTTCAATTTTAATAACAAAAAACTATTAAACCATATAAAAAAATAAAGTTCCAATTTAGTATTGTTGAAAACTCATCACATTCAACATTTAATCACTCTCTCACTTAGATAGAGATGGGTTTTTTAAGGAAAATTATCATATACAGTAACTATAATCTGGTAAAAGCTGGGATCTCTGGGCATTTACAATGTCCCCTGCAACAGAAAAAAACCTTCTCATTTGGGACTGAGGTTTCTGGGACAGAGAGATATGAGTTAGCCAAGGTTGACAGCAGTGGGTAACGTTGTGCATTGTCTTTCCACCACTTGAGAGGACAAGCATGAGTGAGATAGAGGTCTCTTTGCGGTACAAGTCAACGTCTGCATCAATCTAACAAGTGTGCTGTGTTCTGCAGTCCCCATCACTGTTATTAGTCGTATTCCCCCACTTATATTTCACCACAGTCTGGCAGTGAAGTCACTTCAGATAAAGGCATCTGCTAAAAATTTGTATGTAAATATAACGTAAAGCTTACAGGATTCTGACAAAGCTCTTCATATGATCCGACTATTCCTCGTTCTTTGGCCCAGTTGACGAACACTTCTGGATCTGGAACTACAATTCCTATCAGAAAAGACTAAGCACAGACAAAGCACGATTGGTGTTAGAACAAAACCGTCACTTCCTAATTAACTGGCACCAAATATCCACAATAAGAGCTGAATTAGCTGCGGTGGGAGAAGCTGCGTCAATCTTTTCTTTATTTAATAAATGAATTGCGCCTGGTGAGACAGTGGCGCAGTAGGTAGTGCCTCACAGCAAGAAGGTCGCTGGGTTGAACCTCGGCTCAGTTGGCGTTTCTGTGTGGAGTTTGCATGTTCTCCCTTCCTTCGCGTGGGTTTCCTCCGGGTGTTCCGGTTTCCCCCACAGTCCAAAGACATGTGGTACAGGTGAATTGGGTAGGTTAAATTGTCCGTAGTGTATGAGTGTTTGTGTGAATGAGTGTGTGGATGTTTCCCAGAGATGGGTTGCGGCTGGAAGGGCACCCGCTGCATAAAAACTTGCTGGAAAAGTTGGCGGTTCATTCTGCTGTGGTGGATTAATAAAGGGACTTAGCCGACAAGAGAATGAATGAATGAATGACTTGCGCCTCAGAACGCAATGAACGGTGGTGTTTGAAGACGTTCTGGAGGTCATTTATAATATAATAACACTAAAACTAAAATGAGGCATTTAGGAATGACCAAAACAACAGTTAAGATGGTTTACAGTAGCCCCTTTCACACAGTGATACCGGTAAAAATCTGGAAAATTTCTGTAACGACTTTACCGGTAGATTCAAAAAAGCGCTGTTTACACAGGCGAGGACGTTACAGAATTTTTCCGGAAAAGAGCATTCACACATCCATTCCAAAATACCGATTAATTCTGACATCATTAACCAGAAATGAGCTCTAAACGGCTGCGCTTGTGTTTGTAAACATTTGATTACACCACAAACTCTGTGGATGATCAATATTGTGAACGACTTGGATAAAAACATATAGAGGAACACTTTGGCAGGTCGAGATGTACATGATATGTGTGTGTGCCCATGGCTCACAGGCTGTTTCATGGGCACACGCAAAGCTTGAAGGTAAACAAAAAGCGGCTTATCATACGCATCTTATCAATAATTAATTACACGGTTGGCATTAAGATGAACATATAAACGTTATCTGACTAATTTCAGGCAGCTAAATGTGTCTGCAAAAAGATTCAAAGGCTTTTATTCTCATAAACCGCGTGGACGTAAATGCGTCTGACTGTTCTGATTGGCTAAAGCAGACGTCTCACGTCAGCACGTTCTAGACGTGCACGCGCTCTTTCCGGCAATCTTCCTTCTGCGTTCACACAGCGAAGCATTCCGGCAAATTACCGGTAATGTTACAACTTCTCTTTCTGGAAAATAGCCAGAATGAATTTACCGGTATTTTCAAAAAGGGCCTGTTCACACATACACACCTTTTCGGAAAATTACCGGCAAAAGGTCTGTATGTGTGAAAGGGGCTAGTGTGCTCAGCCTGCTGGTTTGTCCATTCACACACGTTTTCAGCATCAAATGATCTCTTATAACAAAATCACATGACCTTTTTAATGCACATACTGGAATTCGTTCAGTAAAAGTGTTTCCATCATAGTTTATGTGCATCTTTTCTTATCAAAAAAAAAGTTTATCCTACTCAACTATGCGCTATTTCCCAAATGCACATAGCTAGTTTCACTGTGGTAAAAACACTAGAGTAGGGTGAAATGTGCGTTTGTTACCTGTAGGCTGTCTCCATGCACAAAGACCTGCAGGACAGGAACGCAGCGCGTGTAGACGTTCTCCAGCTTCTCTGGGGCGATGTACTCTCCCTGGGACAGCTTGAAGATGTGCTTCTTTCTGTCCACAATGCGCAAAGTCCCATTCTGGAAGAGCAAACGTTCACAAGTGTCACAACTAAAGGATTACTCTTACAAAAGAAATATTTACACATTTAAACAGACCAGAAAGAGTAAAGAAAGTCCTTGTGGAACTTTTTTCTTTTTTCTTTTTTTGAGTTTTGGAGAATAAGATCAATATATTGTGACATTCTGAACTTGTAATCATGTTTTAGTTTGTTAAATTTGTGAACAGCACAAATAAGCGAGATTTATCAGGTAATGTAACGATGTTTTTAATTATGACTGAAGTGCATATCATAATGCTTTGCTAAAAAACAGAATTGTCTTACTTTAAAATACACACACTAAATATGTAATAACATGTTATGTTTGTGTGTTTTTTTAGCCTTATGTGGGTCAATGTTACTGTAATGTAGTTATTTGATTGAGAGGGTTTTAGTTTTTATTTTAAAGTAAAAGAAATTATGTTTTAAATATATATATATATATATATATATATATATATATATATATATATATATATATATATATATATTTA